GCATTCCTGGGTGGACTATCTACCATTAGATGTTGCATTTGTTTCTTCAGGTACAGATCCTGGGCTGACTATAGAACTGAGGTCATGCCCTCAAAAAGGATTTTTTTTTTTTTTTTTTTAAGTAGCAGTATATGAACTGCTTTTATTTCAAAACTGTTTCCCTTTCAAACATTAATGTGGCATCTTGGTCATTGCCAGGGGCACTCTGCAGAAATTATAAATTACCTAGAACCTGAAGAGAGGAGGAATAATATTTTGATGAAAGATTAATTATTAGCAGAAGATTCTATTGTTATCTAGATAAACAAAAGATAAGCATTGTTCTTTGCAAATCAATAATTTTCATTCTGGAACTATCACAAATTCATGTTCCATCATAGTAAGCAAGCATGGGTGTTTGGATTTTATTGTGCAAATTCCTTAAATTTTAACATGTAGAGGTTTTTAAAAGTTTAAAGATTTTGTTAAACAAACTAATCCTCTAGCTTCTAACAAACTAATCCTCTATAAGAAGCGGTTTTAACATTTTTTTTTCTTTTTTCTAATCAGCTTGACTAATTTCAGTGAGTTTAATACATAAATCAATTTAACTGTTAGCTCCAGAAAATCTACACAAACTTCATCACTGGTTGGTAACAATGAAAAAATACAATAACTTTTACCATTGATGCAGTACTTTCTTTCAGAGATTTCAAGGACATTGCAAAACTAGGTAAGATTAATAATGAAATAGGAAAACTTTGGCAGAAAGAAATTAAGTAACAAATAAGTTTGTAATTGTAACAGGTTTATTTATTTACCATTATTAGCTGCCTCCTCCTAAATCTTAACTTATTTTACCTCAGTGAAAACAATTTTTGCTATGCATTATCAAGCCACTAAAAATGATAGCTAACCTTTTTATATTGTTTTTCCCTTTGGGTTAAATTCCTTAAATTCTAGATGCGATATTAAAAACGAATTTCTTCCATGATATTGAAGGATGTTGTTGTTGGGGGTTTTTTTAATATAGAAAAAAATCATAGAATTAAAGATAACAGCAACATTAAATAGCAACTGAATCTTCAATCTCAGAATCCTTGTGACTGACAAACTTGATGGGCCTTCATGCATTTAGTAAATCACACACTGTAAGGTTTACGCTTTTTGCTTTTCTCATGATTTTCAAGTGGCTAGTTGCTAAGTATAGTGTGATGGAGAGGAGGAAGAACAAGAATCTTACCTGCAGAGTCCACAGGCAGCGGGAAAATAGCAGCAAGAAACAGCGCCGAGTAAGAAAACAAATGCTGGGGAAACCATTTATCAAGGAGGAACCCCATGCCTGGGTTAAAAGCAGGCTGGTTTGGGGAGATGGATGGGCCAGAAGTGAGGTCCGGAAGCCTGGAAGGGGCAAATGGTGGAGAGCAGCCTGTCAGCAGCAAGCCCACTGAGACGGCTTGGAGGAGCCAAATGATTTACCTGCAGGATTGTTCTGGCAGTCAGGAGCAGATGATTGGGATCTGAGCCAGGACACTGAACCTGAAAGACAAGACAGAGATGGAACTAGAGAGGAATTGTGAGTGGGGCAAGAATAGCTCACAGTAGACCATTCTGACCATGGATCCTAAGGTCAGAAGGGTCTCACAGGACAAGGACTATGTGGTCCAACTCTGGGCCAAGAGACTATAAAGAATGGACTAAGATCCAAAGTAATCTTATTGCACTATAAGACAGTATAGTCTTCGTGCCCTTGAACATCTATTTAAGACCTCAGAGGCTGGCTTAAGGCAGGGTGTAGGGGAGGTGGAACCCTGGAAGACAGCGCCAGGACTGGATTAAGGACAACATCCACAAGAAAAAGTCGTGGCAGGAGAGGGTGGTTGGCCTTACTCCAGATCCAGCTATACAAGGCTAAGAGCAAGCTGTCTACTCCTAAGGGAACTGAAACTCAAAGAGATCCAATGGAAAAGTTGAGGCATGCCTCACAAGATAGGCACAGGTGCTTCCACATATAGTAAAGAGTAATAGGAGAGCATTACTCCAGGGTAAGCAGCATTGTAATTTTAAAAGAAGCAATTATTACCTTACGGTCAAACTAGAATTTTTAAACATTAATTGTCCTGAACCCAACAGTGAATGCAGACCCATTTAATTTCTGATTCTTATGGCAACTCTGCGCTAGATCCCACTGCTCTAACTTCTGCCAGCCTATGGAGTCTGAATGGACTGTATATCAGCTGGGAATTGTTGGGATACAACCTGCAACACTACAATGTTTATTTCAAATTTTAATAGGAATATTGCTGCAATCATTAAGGCCCCTCTTAGATAACTTTTAAATTGTTTGTGTACACCACATTGATTTGCAAAAAACCTAACCAATTTTGTATGAAATGATGATCTCTCCTTCTTTATACATATGTAACCCTTTTGCCAGGGACTGAACAGTAGTAATGAGGACCAGGTTCAATTTTAGAGCTTTTACACTACCTCTCAAATTTAGCCCGGGCCCCCAGCGCAAGATCCATCAAAATAAAATATAATTTGATATGCTAATGTGAATAAACTTCCCGACTCACAAGTAAATGTTAAATTAGAACAGGATTTGTTATGGGGAAAAGGAGAGCAATCATACACCTTAAGGAAAACTTAACTATTAACTCTTAACTGTAGTTCAAAACAGATGACAGTCACAGTTATCTTAAACCAGGTCATAGTCACTGGCAAACCAACCTGGAGAGCTTCCCCCTGCTCAGTCACCTGGGAAGGGAGTCTCAACCAGCTTTGCCATCTGGTGGCTTTATCACCTACATAAGCCAAAGTAAGAACTGCAGGGTAGGGAGACCCTACCCAGGGGTTGCCACTCTGTTATTGGGACTTTACTACCCACACCAGCCAAGGTAGCAAGTTCTGGGTAGGGAAGTCTGCATCAGAGTTGCTGCCCCTCTGTTGCTGGGAGTGCTGCTAGGGTATGATACTAGGGAGCACTGCTCTGGCCACCACCTCCAGCGGTCTCCACCACTCCTCTGAACTGCTGTCAGGGGATCTCCATCACTCCTCCACCAGTCCTTTTCAGACTGTGATGCAAATCCAGCTGTTTTAGATCCCACCCTATACCAATAGGAGTGTAGCAGAGCAACAGAGAGGTGAAAGGCTCTGCACCAGTCCCTCAGCCCTGTCTGCTCCCTGCAGCACAACAGGTAATGGAGTGACTAACAGCTGCCATGCTGGGGAGAAAACCCAGCTCAGATTGAAACCTAAAGAAGCCCTGCAGGGAGGCACTTACTGGAGGGGCAGCTGAGTGGCAGCCAGCAGAGAAGTGAGTGGATTAGCTGCTTGGAGCATTGGTGGGGAAATGAAAGTCAGCTGCTGTAACTACAGGTGGAGAGGGAGAGAGGGAGGGAGAGGGAGCGATGGCTCCCAGCTGCAACACTCCTGGACCTGGGCGAGAGGAGAGATGGGCTCCTGTTTTTTTTCATTATTTCTGTTTCTGTTGAACTCTGGTGGATGTGGAGGGAGTGTAGGGGTGGTGGAGCTCCTAGCCAGCAGTGACCTGCTTTAAATATATGGAATAACTGAACATGGCAAGCATAGCCAGCCCTTAAAGGAGCAGGCCTCAGATTTGAACTGAGACTACAGTGAGTGATAAACCCTTTCTGTTGGTAGATTACATGTCATAAAGGCAAACAGCCTCCTGTTGCATCTTAAACCTTAAGAAGAAGTCATGGTGGGTGAGAAAGGCAAAAGGTAGCAGCACCCAACTGCAGATCTCTGAGAGATGACTTTTAGTGACCTTTGTATAACTTGGGTTCCTGTCACACATTACACACATTGTACAATTAACTGGTCTATCATTCAATACATTTAAACCAGCCATATATGCAAGGTAGCTATCAGTCAATGAACTGGTTAATCATGCAGGAAATTTAGATTGGCCATGTATGCCAAGTGATTATCACACCATAAAAATGTCCATCCAGCCATAAAAATAGTGCTTGAAAATGTATAGCAACTTTATAGCTGGTTTCTATACAGCTTTAATTTTCACGTGTGGCAGGGCCCTTTGAATCAACATTTATTTGCCTACAAACTTTACAATTTGGAAGAGCGGGCTGATGGACACACAATCTGATCCACCTGCCCTTTATAACTGCATACCTTAACCTGAAATTGTATAACCCCAGACCACAAACAGTGAAAACAAGCATGAGCGATCCCTGAAACCTGCATATTAATGAGGTATACAGTTGAGAAATACACAAAGCAACTATTATAGAACAGAACCCACAGGTAAACATGCAAACCATAAGCAAGGTTACACACACACATACATGCATACATACAAATGTAGATGTCAAAAGAGAGAGAGTTTGAATAGAAAATAAAATCTTACCAACCACATGAAACAATTTTATATCAGAAGTCATGATAATGTTCATTACAGTGCATGCCTCTAACAATTCTCCCCATTATCTGAGCTGACTGTTTGGGTAGGCTTTGTGCACCAGGAGTTAGAGATTTTTAAATCCATTTTTCCAAAACTTTTAGAATTAATGTTTATTTTTTCAAGACTGGAGCTAAAGCAATCAAATGTCCTCTTTTTTAAAGGGAAATCAATGTGTACTTTTATTAAAGGTCTAAAAAAAAAGATTCTTTGGAAAGTATATGTAGTTGCACAGATGCAATAGATTTAATATCATTGAGTAGTCACCTTCCATCACAGTTCCATCCACTAAGGAGGGGGGCAGAAGAGTTATGTATGTTATTTGATATGATTATGGAATGTCTGACATTAGCCATACGCTCCCTTTCTCTAAAAAGAGGAGTCTGTTAGTCTGGCATGAGAAACACTGACTAGCCCTTGTACAGATGATTTACTGGCATTTATAACAGAACTAGGAAGTTCAGTAACAGAATCATTAACAGATTCAACAGAATATCCATATAGTGGATTACTATAATAAATTAGAAAGAATGACATGGATCTGTAATATCTCTGACTTGTTCTTATTTTTCAGTTGTGTTAGCTTTATTTCAAAATATTAGTCTCCCTAGATACCTTAAAAAATGAGTTATATGGCCCATTTAGACTACTATCAAAGAAGATCTGGTGAATTGGTCTCTAACTATTTGCTTGACTGCTGTGAAGGATTATATAGAAAAAACAGTATGGTGTACTGCATGGCATACCTGCTGTTCACCTGCAGGAATAATCAGTACAACAAATCATCATAAAATGCCTTTTTATATTTAGCAGTATAAAAAGTGGGGAGGGGGTGGTAGGGGCAACCCCGTGTGCTGATTTGCGGGGCCACTAAAAAAAAAAAAAAGCAGCTGCTGCTAGCAGCCACATATTCTCATTTGCAATCATGGGTGTAACTGGAATTTATGTCTCTCATTTTGTCTTGAGTGTCTGGCTACATTCCTACAGTGCTGGTAAAAGTACATCAATTTCAAACTTAAAATTGATTGTCAGAGTATAAGATTGGATGCCCATCTTCAGATAAAATATTTGGATACCTATCCAAACAATTTTTGAGAAAAATATGTACTTTTTCTGTTTATTGCCATGCAGTGACCAGTTCTATAGATTATCCATTGATATGCAGTTTTATTTTTAGCAGGCAAATTAAGTAAACATTTCTAAAGATAAAACATTTTCATTTAAAAAAACTAAATCTGTCCCTCACAGTTGAATAAGATCCAAACTGGACCTGCATATTTGTAAGTAAATTTTGGGAGGAATTCTGCCTCATTGACACGAAGGAACTTTTACTATTGATTGAATTGGGGCCAGGATTTCATTCTCTGTACCAATGAGCCAGCCTAATTGCATCTGGTTTCTTTTGATCTCACTATATATAAAACTCTGAAATGTGACATCATGTCATGGCACGGGACCCCCAGGGATAGCCGTGATGCCCCTAGGGCTCTATGATCGTGTCAGTTCTGCCCTGTGGGCCCCTTCTAATCTTCCCTGCCACATCTTGTTGGTAAAAATAAAAAGTAAGGAGGCTGCCCATGAGTTTCTGTGCAGCCACAGTCCTGTTAAACCCCACTAGACCCTGTGGGTTCCTGGACACCTTGCTGGGTCCCACTCCAATTCAGTGCCTCATGGGACACCTTAAGCCTTATGGGCTAGATGCATGGCTCCAGAACCTCCCCTTAACCATGAGGCATGGTAGTTATATGGATATTGTTCCCTCTGTGGGGTGTCTCAACCTCCACCTTTTTAATGTATCCAGACAGCCTCGACCCAGTATGTCAGGCCTGGCTTTCAGGCACTAACTTAACTCAATCTCCTCTGGTGTGGGGCTCTTTGACGCAGGGCTCTACACAATCATGTGCCCACCTCTGGGCACTAATAAGACCTCCACCTCCCCTGATAGGCTCATCCCAAATCACTGGTACAAATGACAACACAAACATCAGCCACTAGGCTATAACATAACAATAATGATAGAGTCGCATTCTGTCCCTCTAAGAAGTCAAACCTCTTCCCTAGTCTAGCATGCCACTCAGCCCAGGGTACCTTCTGAACTCTAGTAACCGTAGGAGTCCTTCAGGTAGCAGACCAGGCAACCAAACATCTCCAGGTGGCTCTTTCATGCAGCAGCTCCTTTCTCTGGTGGCTGCCAGAGAACTAAACCCTGCCAACCCAGCCCTGGGGTTTATGTGCGCCAGGGCCCTGCCTTCCTCCAGTCAGTTGACCATGTGCAGGTGCCAGCTAATTCCCTCTTAAGCCTGCTGCCCAGGCAACCTGCAGCTGTGGAGCTCTGCCTAACCTGCAGGGCTCCCTGGGTAGGTTGCTTCTGCCCTGAAAGGAGCAGGCATGTCTTAGTGCCCTGCAACACATCATATTAATAATATTAATTATTTAAAGATAGTAAATCAAGAAGAAACAAAATACATAAACTATTGAAGTCTTACCACAAAATAAAGTGTGGGAAGCAAAAAATGTAATTTGTATCAGGATAATCCAATAAGTATCTGTCATTTTACAGCCCTGCATTCACCTGTCCCTTAAGGTGAGAAGATTTCCCAAAAGTGAATCTACCTGCGTAGCAAATCTTGAAAACAGATTATTTATCTTGGGGTTTAGATAGATGTAACAATATCAAAGAATAGCCATATAAGTCAGTGGTTTTCAACCTGTGGTCTGCAGGCCTCTGGAGGTCCACAACTGTGTTCTAAGGGGTCCACAAAAGATGACTAAGATCAATCAAAAGTATGTGAATATACACGCCTACAATTTAAAGGGGTCCACACCTCCATTTGAAATTTTTTAGAGGTCCGGAAATGAAAAAGGTTGAAAAGCTACTGATATAAGCTATTACAATGCATTGTTACATTTATACACATAATAAGTGTAGCAAACCCATTCCAGGTTTACCCCTGCTTTATTTAGGTTTAAACCTACAGGCTGCATCTACATGTGTGCTTAACCACAGAGTAGACTAATTAGCTGTGGAGTAAAGCATTACTGTCTATACGTGCGATGCAATTAGGCTGCAGTAAACTAATTAATGCTGCCATAAGATAGTACTGTCAGTGTCATGGCGGGGTCCTGCAGGAGGGCCGTGATCTCCTTGAGGCCCCCCTCTCCATGTCAAGTTGGCCCAAGGGCACCCTCTATTCTCGCCCACCACGTCTTTGATCTTAAGTTGGGAGGCTGCCTTATGCCCTCTTGGACACACAGACTCCTGGACCCCTCGTGGGTCTTGTCCAGCACAAATGGGTGCTGCGGGGCACCCTAGCCTTATGGGCTATGCGTGGCTCCAACCACCCCTGATACCATGCCCCAAGCCGCGCAGATGGGATAGACGTTGGTTTGTCTCTCTCCGTACACTGACGCCGCTTCCTGGGGCTCTCTCTGCCCACTCCGGGCCTTTGCTGTGCCGCCGCCCTCTCTCGGGGCCTTCTCTGTGCTGTTGCCCCCTGTCTGGGCCTTTTCAATAGTGCCCCCTCCTGGGGCCTGCTATGCCCTTACTAGGGCTTCTCAATAATGCCCCCCCTTCCTTGGGGCTTTCCGCACCCACACCTGGGCTTCTAAAGTATTGCCCCCTTCCTGGGGCCCGTCACGCCCGCACTGGGCTTCTCAATGCTGTCGCCCTCTCTCGGGGCGTTCTCAATAGTGCCCCCTCCCTGGGGCTCGTTGTACTCCCACTTGGGCTTCTAAAATATTGCCCCCTTCCTGGGGCCGTCACGCCCGCACTGGGCTTCTCAATGGTTGCCCCGCTCTGGGGCTTGTTACGCCCGTACTGGGTTTCTTAAAAAGGCTGCCCCTCCTGGGGCTCGTTGTGCCCAACTTGGGCTTCTCAAAGTTGCCCCTCTCTAGGGCTTGCTATGCCCGCACTGGGGCTTCTTGAACGCCCCCTCCTGGGGCTGGGGTCTAAGCACCCCGTAAGCTGCGCCCTCACTGGTGCTAGGGCCCCACACCACTGTGGGTCCCTATGAGTATGCTCCACCCACTCAGGCATTGGGGTCCTCACCCTCTGTTGTGAGTCCCCAATGAGGCCTCCTCCAACCCCTATAGCCTCACCCAAACCACCGGTCTAATAAATAACAACACCAAACCAAACCCACAAGCCCCTAGGCTGTAACACAAATTGAAGCCGCCTGGCTATAACGTAACACCACGGCTCAAACCTCCCGAGCTGCCTTCTGTAACTCTGCTCAAGTAGTACTTGTGGTTCTTACTACTTCTTGTGTCACGGCTGAGAGAACTCCTGCCTCTCTGGCTGCTGGCAGAAAACTACCAGCTTGGCCCCCGCCCCGGGCTTTATAAGAGCCAGGCTCTG